CTACAAGCTTTGTCAACAGAAAGACGAATTAGTAAGCCTCATCAAGCAGCTTAACGAAAGGCTGTATGTACTAGAGGAAGATAGACTGAGGAACATCTCCAAAGATGAACAGCCCAAAAAGACGAGAACGAAATCAAGGACAGAGAGGAAACGCGCCAAGCCAAGTGGCCACGAGGCCCGAATAGCATGTCAAACACCGATTTGGAGAAAGACGGATTTGAACTAGTGGAAAGGGCACGACCTAACCGCAAAACAAGACGGCGCCTAGCGCAGGAGAATGCCGCGAAAGCGGAATCTCGAAGAGAACTACAAACTGAGGATATGAACACAGGAGTTTCTTTATACAGACGAAACCAACGTGTTATACCCTCCAACAAATAATAATAAAAATAAATAAAAATTGTTCTTGATATAAGTCTATTACTGCATGAGAGTTCACTGTCACTTTTTATATGAAGTATCGCTGTTTTTATAGACCATCTGTCGCACGTGTAATCTGCGTAAGTGCGATGCACAAAGCTCATCGATTGACCCACATCCTTGGCGTCTCGCGTGCAGCGTCGGGACGTTCAGCCGTAGAGGGCATTGCACCCTAGACTAAGCGCGATTATTTCATTGTTTCGTTATTTTTCGCGCACTAAACGCTTGTTTGTTTTGCATGTGGACTAACCGAAAGTGTAACTCTGATAATGAATATCAGGCACACTTCAGCACTTGTCACGTGTTATTTTCCAATTTTTTTTTATTTTATACCATATCAAATTACAACTTTATACTGTTATTTTAATTTGTTAAATTTGTAATACGTGATTTTGACTCTAAATTGCACTCGTACGAAGAGGGAACCGATCTCTAATATCTAATAACATGGGTTGTGGTAAACTATTTAGTAACTAACAAACTGTAGTAAGTAGTGAAATACTAGCTGTTAGAAGATGTTACAATTTTTTCTTGAAGAAACATGTACCTACGAGTAAGCAAAAAAATGCGAGTTGAGAAAAATGCAATACATTTTTCTCATCTCTCATTCTGAAAAAAACATCGTTACGTCAACATTTTTACCTAGGAAAGGATGCACTGTAGAATTAGGTTGAATTCTGTGAAAATACAATGTTAAATTACAGTGACTTAGGAACCTATGCGACTGTATTCCAAGCGGAAATCTATGCTATTGAATTGTGTGCGGAGAGATTGGTAGGATCCAACCTCATACACAAACCAATGAAAATATTCTCGGACAGTCAAGTGGCGTTGGAAGCTCTTGGTTCCTACCAAGCAACGTCTACATGAGTAGCATGCTGACAAAAATGACTCTTCCCGATAGAAAGACTTAAATTGTCTCTGGTCTGGATTCCTGGCCATACTGGCCTGGAAGGCAATGGAGCTGCTGCCTCTCTTGCAAAGGAGAGTGCTGCAAGCAGCTTCATCGGACCAGAACCTATGGCATTAGGCTTTGCCAAACAAACATTAAACAGTTGTTGGACTTCAGTAGGGATGAACTACGATGTCTAACAAGTCTTCTCACAGGTCACTGTAGTCTGTTTGGAAAATAATGAAACAGCAGAGCACATCCTTTGAGCCTGCTCCGCTGCAGGCCGAATCGGGTTTTCAGAGTTTGGCAGAGCCGCACTCTTACCATCTGACGTGAAAGACCACTCAACAATATAAACTAATCAGCTTCTTTAGGAAGCTGGGTTCATTTGGTCGAGTGTAAATAGGTGTGAGCCACAATAAACCCTTCCGGGTTGCGGTGGAGGTTCGTATGGACCCACTCACTTTTGACCTAACCTAACCTACAGTGAGTATGTGAAATTATGTCTGACAATTATTGTGAAACGTGGAAAATACTATCGGGATGAATTAGAAGATTGCCTTTTCTACACCTGCATAAAGCTCGACATGAAGTTATCCATTACAATTAGATTTTTTTAGAATATCATACTTGGATTGTTAGTTTGTTGAACTAAAATGCACAACTTTCACTACATTTTCTGAGGTAAACGTACCCTATGTATGAAAATTCACATTCAAGACAATATTGGAAAAAAAATATCTGAATCTGAAAAGACAAAACGAACGATTTAGTAATTTAAAAATATAAAACAGAAAGATTTAATGAATATCTTCCAGGAAGCCATTAAGCTATCATAAAACAAACATAAATATCGAATCAACGATCATCTGAAAAATACGTTCTCTAAATAACGCAATAAAAAGGACCTTCGGAAAACAGAAACAAATCCACTTACCTCAATTCGAAGTATCCTTCATTTAATTAAATTATGAAATAACATTCCAGCGACCTCAATTCTTCCACCAGCAATTTCCTGGCTAAACGAATAGAATTTATTAATATTAAACACGTCGAATATAAAATCTAAAAATACCATCGTGTAGTACCTTAAAAGTGCCAATGAAAAAGTGTTATTCGTTTTTTGATATCTTTTCAAATAAAGTCAGAAAAAAATATCTTGGACACACTGTATATGTGATTGATTGTGTGAGTGTAAATACAATGTTATTTTCATGAGTGTGTTTAGGTATACCTATGTACATATAGGTATATGTGTGTTATTTGATTGTTGGCTAATAAAAAAAATGCATTATAGGCGCAAAGGTCACAAATAATTTTGATACGCACGCACAGGCTAAGCCTTTGTGGGTATGTGTTTCCCGGAAAACGTGAGGGTTGGTGTCACTCCAATAATGGTAATTTTGTCTATGAACATTGCTGTTGAAAAAAATGTACATTGGTCACTTAAACAAATATTGTGGAGATAGGTAGGATACCTTGCAATGGTTTCCGTCATAATTTCGCAGAATTCTGTTCTTCGATCAGAGTCATTTTCGGTTGATCGGTGTACCATTTTAATTTTGTATGGATGATACCTTTTCCTCTTCAAAAGTCTCCACACAGTAGAAGGAGAAACCTCACAAACATTCGCGACGGAATAAGTAGACTGTTCAGGGTTTATTACCATCTCACCAATTATCTGCACTTGCTGTTCTTCCGGAATGGACGGATGACCTGGGGGCTATTTTTATGTCCGACTACCGGTAGTTGTGAATTTGGCTACAAGTTCCCTCAAATATTTTCTACAGATAGGACGATTCGGAAAACGTTCATTTAAAATATTTTCAGCCTTGTGAAAGTAAATAAAAATCGCTTTAATTTTTCTTCCAATCAACGAGAATTGACCATTTTAGAGATTGTTGACGTGGTACCTTTCTACTAGTAAAACCGAAAACTAAATGAGAATATTCTAACTGAACAATGAAGTTCATTGTCTTACTGACATTTTTTGAGGATTTTATAAACAAAAAATAACTCAACAAACCTTATCGGGTTGTTGAAATTGCCATATGGCAGATAGAAAGGAATATTTCTAGAAATATCGATATTAATGTGTTTGTCTTCAGGAAATTATTAAGTGTTCCGCCATTTTGTAGTAGGTGAAGATATTGACTTCGTATTCTAGGGTTGTGAAGTATTCGTCAGGAGCTTCAAAATGATGTATCACGAAACCCCCCTTTCCATATAATTTTTTTCCCAGATGGCGCCCAGTCGCCATCTTGAAAGTTTCATCTGTCAATTTCATTTCAAAATAAAGTATTCTTGCATTAATTTGATTATTCCAAATTTCAATTTTTTAGTTGACCCGTTCAAAAAATAAAGGGGGTGGCATTAAAGAAATGCACTACTGTATTCATTTTTGCCTGAAATGTCAAACTGCATTTTAGGAAACAGTTCCATTGGGAAGTCAAGAATGCGTTATTATTTTTGAGAAAGAAAGGTTTTGACTTTCTACTTCTACATTTTTGAACAAAAAAAATGTGGGAATCTTCCGAAGAAAGGAAGGCAGCAATTAATAGTAACTCTATACTTAGATGTGCAAATCATGGAAAGAAGTAACTTTCAGACACAAACTCGAAGAAAAACTCCTTACGAAACAGCTACTTTCATAATATTGATTCTTCATTGTTTCCTGCAACCATATCAGTGCATTATTGATTTGACCGATTTAGTATCTCCAATGATAACAAAGTCTGAGGCTAACGACCAGAGTATTCGATGCCGTTGACACCAATGAAACAAAAGATGAGTTGAGAATCTACGGATTTTCTGATTATTCTCTACAATCATTGAGTAGATCAATACAATAATCACATAAGTTCATGTTTGAAAATAAATAACGGTGTACCCCAAGATGGCACATTAGGACCGCTTTAATTTTTGATCTTATAAATGACATGACTAAACATATTTAAACATATTAACAACCTTGTTCGCTGATACTACTTTTATAACCAAGATTAAAAATAACTTTGCAATAATCATTGATAAGATAAATTCGATTATAAAACACTCAACAAAGTGTTTCATGACCAACAATTTAAGCTTACATAAAACCATACCAGGGATATTGCCAATCAGAGCGAGACATTTCTAGAACATATTCCATCCTAACTGAAAACTTCATGTATATCTTCATTCTAGCTGTATATCTATAGGTATTCCAATTTCTATTCGGGGGGTTCTCGTACGCAGTAATAGATAACGGGTAGAACACATTGTGGCTAGGTTGTCTATTTTCGGGTATTACTGAACGATACTAAAAAATTAACTACAGAGTTTTTGGTTCAGAAGATACTCATATGACGGGGGAAACAACAAAATTTCAAACTTCATTTTTGGATGTATCTTCTTTGTTCGCAGAAATATTAAAAATCAGTTCAAACATCGTTACGGGAACTTTCATTAGCTATCGGAACCTTCAGCCATTCAGGCCGCAATATGCACCTCTGGAATAGTATCTGTGGACCATCTTCTAGAATTTCCCATACGGCAGCCATAATGGCATACTGAAAAGATTACAGTTTCTCAGTTGATATTGAAGTTGTCAGATATTCATGTTGCAAAAATTCCCACTTCAATAACCGCAGCCGCAAGGCTGCGGTGGAGAATCATTGTTTGAGTGTAAGCGTATGGTGACCTGCTCATGAGGATCTTGTTTCCTCTTCTAGAGCTAATTCTGCTTCTGCTGCTCAAGAATTCGATGCAAGACAGGAGACAAATTGCTTCGTGGTGGCCTCCTAGGATAGGTTAGTTGAAGAATCAATAGTTTGAGAACTAAGAACTTGTCATGACTCGATGATACAGGAAGAATAGTTGGGATCATTCAGTTGACGTTCATCTTCTTTGTGGACTCAGAGTCGGATTCTTTGTTCACTTCACAGTCTAAAAAGGGTCCCAAAAGTAGTGAGAAAAAGAATAACCATCACCAACAAGACTTTCTACGACGAGAGAGCGTCGTAGAAACTCTTGTTGATGATAAGAAGCTCTGCAATGACGGTTCTCCCTTTTCTAACTACTATTGGGTCTCAAAGGTTTCGATAGTGACATTAAGTGAGGTCAGAGTCATATGGCTCGTATACATACACTTTGGGATGAGGCAGCATTTCAGAGGACTTACCTCTAGGGGCAACAACTATCTCGGGTAGAGGAGGTATTCTAAAGCCCCTCACTAGCGGACGGGTGGCATTATAATGAGTATGGGAGTAAGCTTTTGCACTTGGCGACATAATTGTGCCAAAACATAACGGTGTCAATTTTAACCCCCAACAAACTTATCGACATAGGAAGCGGAATTGTCTGACCTGACATTATTATATCCGGTTCGGAGACATTTATCTTCTTGTAGAAAACCGATGTCCGGGTTTCTGTGGCATTGAATTGAACCTGGTTACTTTCACCCCAATTCGATATCACTTCTAGATACTCATTAGGATATGCAACCTCCTGCTGCCGGTGAAGATGTGCCTCCGTAGCCGATATCCTGGAATCCAAATGGAATGACGAGACAAGTGTGCTGTCGTCAGCAAAGCAATATATTGGTTTCTTGTTTTTTCCAATAAAACGTTGATATACAATAAAAAAAGGTGGGAGACAATATAGATAACTGAGGAATACCAGCATTAATGGCTAAAATATTTGAAAGATATCCATCGACGGCAACTTCCAGGGAACGTTCTTTCAGGAAGCTGAAGAGCCATACACAAAAATGATCCGACATGCCATGGCATCGAAGTTTGGCCAGCAAACCCTCATGCCACACACGGTCAAAGGTCTTAGAAATATCAAGCGCAACAGCTCTTGATTCTCCATGTTTCCCGATTGCGGTATTCCAAATATGGGTGACATACGATTGAAGGTCGCTTGTTGATATTTGTTTCCGAAATCTATAATGTTTTGAAATGATATACATCATTCTCTTTGGTAAATATTTGCATGATATGCAACAGAAGGTCACCTGTTGGTTTTTATTTCTGAAAACCATATTGATGATGGTGGTTTACGACTTTCTCCATGATTTTTGATATCACTGATAGCAGAGCGACCTGTCTATATAGTCCGGTCAAATTAGTGTAAAAAATAAGAGTGAAGGTACATAAATATATTCGTCAAAAAGTTTATCTACTTTTGCAAAGAGTCAAAATCATGTACTATTTTTAGACGCAATAACTGGCTGTGATACGACGTCTGCATTTTACAGGAGGGGTAAAGCAACAGATAGTTATTTGGAAGATTTTTCTTGCCCTTTTTGGAAATAGGCTGAATGCGAGCAATCTTTCAACAAGAAGATATTGATATGTTTCAAAATTCGCCTGTCTAGACTTTGTCAAAAAGTAATTTTCGGCAATGTAGATTCTACTGTGGGAATAGTGGGTGGTGCCTTTAATTGGTCAGGCAGTAGATTTGCTTTTTCTATGGCTGTTGTTGTAATTGAATCATCCGTGTGTGTTGGTGGTGGAATTGTGGATTTTGTTTAGCTACCGACCAGAAGGATCTGGACCCGTTGGGATTCTCTGATTGTGAAGTTCCTTGCTTCCATTTATCCTAAGTTTGCAGCTGTTGCGAGCATTAACAAACCTAGTTCGGTTTTTGGCACTGAGATTTTTACGCTACTACCGGTAGGCGAAATTTTGCTCACATGTTTTGTTGAACCAAGGTTTGCCATCAGAAGGTCGTTTCATCAAAAAAGGAATATATGCATCCATGGATGATAGAATAACTTCCGTGACTTCAGAAGCACAAGTTGATGGATTCTGTCATATACAAGAATTCCTTCCATCAGTGAATTACACATGTATTTGTTGCCTCATTTGTCAATATTCTAACTGATTGACTTATTTCATAATTATATACACTATGAAACCAATTTAGAGATCTTCTTGAGACATGAAGGTTCTAACAGCAGATGATTTGAAGTTTAATAAGAAACATTCCATTATCAAGTTTCGGCACTAAGTTTGTTTTGAACATGAAACAGAAAGGAAAACTGAATTGACTTTCTCCTAAAAAGCAACCCTTTTAATTAACGCAATTTATATTCAATGACGCCATGGTTTTGATTACATGATATGATGAGAATTGAAAAACATTTCCTTGTCCTCAAAAATAACACAGAACAAGATAAATGTATGCCTCAAAAACCTCGCTTCACATAAAAACACCGGTCGTAAACAGGAACTTGATCTGATCCCTAGGCACGTTTTCAAGTTTTATACAAAGAAACAAAATCATAACAAAAAACCAGTACATCACGGTCAACCAGATGTTAAGTTAACGAAAACTAAAAACATTGCTCATTCATTCCTTTCAAATCGTTGGATAAATACACACAGGCGCGCGTCAGGTGATAAATTAAAACTTACCTCGAGCGTTGGTGGCGGAGTCTGCGATTTTTTGGAACGCTTCCAAATAGGCTGTGACCGACAAGATTGTCGCCCTATAAACACAAAATTTCAGATTAGGAACATGTGGTGGTTAAAGATATGTTGGTACATTAATTCCCATCAAAACTATTTCATTGGAAAATTCAACCAAGTGAAAAAGTTGATGGAATTGGCCATAACTTGATTAACATACATGAAAACGTATTTGAGTGATGTTTTGTTATGAGATTTTCACCAAACAGTTTACGAAACTAAAAAACGTGTTTCGCTATACAACAGCATACTAATGCATATACTTCATTGTTTGTTTTTAAATCAGCATGCATCATACACAAGAACAAGGGTATAGCTACCGGACTGAGTTATGGTCGGTGGGAGAAATCATATCTGCGTAATGTATGGGTCGATGAATGTATATGTTTATATGCAATTTACCCCATCACTAACTGAATACGGTCCTGAATTGGATGTTTACGGCTCGAATAATCTAAGAGACTGGTAACAGATTTCTACACATCTACTGCACAACTTGAGAGAGGGGCTTCTCATCGGCCACGACTCAGTCCGGCTGCTGTACTTTACTTCTCATCCTAACCACAATACTAGTAAGGCTTGCCAATTGAAGGTTCCTATCCCAACAAGTAGTCAAATCAAGAACCAAATGGAATACTGTGTTGGCAATATCCTAATCTCAAATAAAACTGTCTTCTAACATTATTTAAGATAGCAGGCGTGACCGACCTAATCGCAAGCGTTATTCATTCTTTTAAGTCATTCAAATCTGAAGGTTTCGTTTTGTACACATTGCTCATTACATATCCCCATAAAAAGAAATCTAATGAAAGATCAGGTGATCGCGCTGGCCATTCAATCGATCCTCGCCTCCCTATCCACTGATTGGGAAATGTATCGGGGTATTGCCGGACATTAACTTGGTAATGTGGTGGTGCTCCATCCTGCCGGAACCATATCGTATTCACCGGAAATTGAGGGTTTCCTGAATCGGGATATAAATTTGCTAAACTTGGAATGATATCATTTTGAAGTAGTGCCAAATAATTATCGCCATTCAAATTGCCCTCAATAAAAAAGGGACCAATGATATGGTTTCCTACAATCCCTGCCCAAACATTAACTTTTTGAGGGTATTGCGTGTGTTCTTCTCTCATCCAGTGAGAATTTTCCGTTGACCAGTAGCAAAAATTTTGCCTATTAACATGACCGTTAAGAGACAAAGTATACTAATCAGAAAACATAACGACTTCTGATTGGATATTGTTATCCAACATGTTCATCATTTGCTCACAAAAATAAGTTCTTTTATCAAAATCGTCTGCCAGATATGAGCGGTAAATTAGGAAATTTCTCATGAAATAGGCGAGCTACTTCCTGTTGTGTTCGGGTTTTATCTCCCTAACCAATCATTTGTAAAACTGATATTTTATGCATTTCCGTTAATATAACCATTTGTCAGACTTGAAGTTAACGAACTTTAAACTAAAATTAAAATACTGACAACTAATGTTGTAACATACAAAACAAATTCACAAGGCGTTTTAAACTAACGTTGCCACGTAAAGTATTTACAGTTTTTTAAAGGACACTATCTGAAAAGAACATTGGTATTGTTTTTTGCTTACTTTCTTATTATCAATAACTCAACATGAAATAGATTTTGAGTATATTGCAATAAGTTTTGAGTGTATTTTATCGAATTTCGGTCACCACATGATTTTAATTTATTTTATCTTAATTTTTGCAATAAACTTGAAAGCGATAACATTTTTGAATAGAAAATGTGAAGAGACCTTTCAAACGATATATCACAATCCTACATTTCCCATTTAAAAAATGGGGTGTTGTACCTGTAATTCGACGTAATTATGATTTAAATTTGGCGTGTTCCGGGATTTTGTTAAAATATATACCTTAACGGAAATAATGAATGTATTCCATTTGGCTTTTACACCCTGTATATAATGGAGTGAAAATGTACAACAAGTTACCTAAAAGTTTATCAGAATGTGTCACGTTACTATCTTTTAGGAGAAACCTGAAGGCAATGCTTGTCAAAAAGACTTACTGTATATTAGATGAACTTTTTGAGGATGATTTAGACACATAATCTTCATATATGTATTTTTTCTTTCTCTTTGTAGTATTATTTGTAGCGACATTAAAATTTACTTACACAACTTTAATTTTACCCATGTACAAGCTTACATTTTGAGTAGCATACTGCTTGAGTATGTGCTCATGTATGTATATGTGTGTGTACATAATGATAATATTGATGGATTTTATTGATGGTTCCACACAATTATGGCTGGATTCAATATATGTATATGATAAATCATCGCAGAAATTGCTCTTCCTTCCAACCGTAAAAACAAAATAAAATAAACAGTATGTTATCAATAACAGTGTAAACAGTATATACAGCAAAATAGAAATAGAAAAAATATATTTTTTAGGCTTGGAGAAAGGTTGATTGATTTCGACATTGTTTATTTTTCGTTTTAAGCTTTCTATTGGCAGAAATTTATATTCAATTGGTATCCGATTATATGAGTAGGCAATATGGTAAGTGAAAGATTCCCGAAATGGAGAAGTTTTATGTTGTGGTATTGGTAAATGTGTCCTGAATCTCAAGTTAAGAACGTGTACGTCAGTTCTGAAGGATATTTTTTCGAAAAGATAAGGGGGTTTTTTGTTTTAACGAGTTTTTGAAAAAATGATGCAGAATGAAATGTTCGTCTGGATTCCATATTCAACCTACCCACATCCCCGAACAGATGGAACATGTGTTCTCGTTTCCTCGTACCCGTAATGAGCCTAATGCATGCATTCTGAAGCTTTTGGATTCTAAAACTGTCACTCTTCAAAATTCCCGGACCATACACCACGTCTGCTTAGTTGGCATGTGAAAGAACTATAAAGCATTGCAGAGTATAATTTTAATTTTTTTATTCAGATATAATAGGGGAGCCCAAGCGGGGATTTTGAAATTCACTAAAGCGCGGCAGATTAATATACAAGGGGATACCTTGTACCCGGTTAAGTACCTCCACCAAATATGCGCCCCGTATATAAGGACGTCCGTGAAGGATAAAGATTCAGATTAGTAAAAAAACTTGAACATTAGAAATTCTCGAGCGCGTCAGATTAAGGTAGGGTGAGTTAACTACTTGCTAAAAAGTGTATATTCCAGTAATCTGACATTTTGAGAGTGACGGAAAGAAAGGGGAGAAAAGCAAATTTGTAAAAAAAACGTCATTTCGACATTCTCGAGCGTATCCACATTTTTTTTATTTTGAAGGAAATAATTCGAAGATAACGAAAAATATATAATCTGACGATTTTCGCAAGCCGAAATAACAGAATTTCGTCGATAAAGTTTAAGGCGTGCAGCTGTGTGATACCTATATTTCCCTTTCCGAGTTTCTATTCCTCTTTCACTTTTTCTCTATCTATTATATTTCGTCCCTACTCTGAATTCTGTTGCCATGACGCCGTCACAACTGATCACAGAGACTCGTTCGTGATGAAGATGATGATTAATTAATCAATAAAGACAGTGTGTGTCGCCTCTGTCTGGAAAATGATGAAACTGCAGAGCATACACTTTGTGCCTGTCCCGCTGGGGATCGAATCAGGTTCTTTGAGTTCGGCAGATCCGTACCCTCACCATCTAACCTGAAAGACCACTCACCATACAAACTAATCGGATTCGTTAAGAAGCTGGGTTTATTTGGCAGAGTGTGAATAGGTGTGAGCCACAATAAACCCTTATGGGTTGCGGTGGAGGGTCGAATAAACCCACTCACTTCAGACCTACCTACCTACCTACCTACCTACACTTTATTATGAATTTTTACTGGACAATCTCACAATGAAGTGATACTTGAATAAGTTATGAATTTTCAAATAACGGCCAATACACCATCCAGACTTATTTTGAAACATTTGTGAAAATCAAGTAATCATTGGATGCAAAACATCGTTGAGTCACCCCAGCATTGACCCATTAGACTCACAATACTCTGAATATGCATTGTCAACCTTCATCATAGAATTCAACAATGGCAATTGAGGAAGCGCATAATAAAAACCCGATAAATAACTACATAAGCATATTTAATGAATGGTGTAACGCTCATTATGGAAGTGACGAAAATATATGATAATGACTAAAGTCAATTGAGGTATTCCGACGACATTTTACTTTATAATTTGCTGACGTCTTGATAAACAGTTTACGAAATGAGTTTATGTTTACTGACGGCGTACAATGTTGACAAAATGACTATAAATGAGCGCTAAGGGAATGCAAAACTTCTTTGCAAAGAAAATGACATTCATATTTCCGAAGCCCGGAACTAGCAGAACCACTTTGAATTTTTGTATTTATTTTTAAACTATAATTTTAGACTTATTTTGAACTGTGCTCCAGATTTTTTTTTATCTTCGTTCAACGAATATACCGTAGGCTTATTAGGTTAACTTCAAGCTAGCAGAACCACTGAAAAAAAACATTTGTTGAATCAGGCTACGCCATAATGTCAGGCTCCTATCACCGATTTTCTAAGTGTTTTTTTATAAAAATCAACTCGATTTAGGCGATACTGCGTGTACCTGAGGTAGGCACCCAAAAATTCAATTCAAAATCTCCAAAAAATGAGATGAAAATTGTCGGGTTCTGAACCAATGAATGGGGAATGTTCCTCAATTTGGGTTATTACAGCAAATGCAAGTTTGAACAAAATAAAGTTGAGTTAAATTCATGAGTTTTTCAAATTCACTTCGAAAAGTATTCAAATTGATGTTTCAAATGTTGGGTTCTAATTTTCAAAGGGATTTGTTTCCAATTCACATATTGGCAACAGCGCCTATATCAAGTTGAAATAATTTATACGTACCTAGATATTCTACTTTAAAAAAGAAAAATTATCTTTATAAATCAACAATTAAGGCAAAATATAAATTATAGTTCAATACCACCTCCACAAGTCACATTAACAACAGTTGTTTTGTTAAACATTCCCCATTGTTTTGCTGGAAGTGTATCATCCTTAAACTCAAAATAGTGATATATTGTAATATCTGTGATAAAAACTGAATTATTAATCAATTTTATTGAAATTTCAAAAAATCTGATTTGTGAAAATCTATTTTTAAGTTCGTGTAAAAATCTGTCAAGTGGGCATCCTATTCTCGAACACTTTATCGAAAATATGTTGATTCTTTTTGAACTCGAGTTCATTTTAATTAAATAGAATTTATGAAAATAATAATTCACGATGAAATTGTCACGAAAATTACCAAACTGAAAGAAAACATTTGTGGTGATGAGCTAGAAAACCCAGAAACGATTAGGTTACTTCATTCAGCTACATTGTAGCCCAATCACAGAGTCGATAATTCAATCTACCGCCACACTACAACGAGAATTAACAACGTAGATTGAAGGAATGACGTCACAGATACCCAGATGGTTCCTCTTGAAGAAGATCACTTAGTGATCGAAACACGTGTTGAGGTGTTGAAATAACGGTTTGGTGTTGGGAAAAACTCCAGTAATATTTATAACTATTATAGTTAAAACGAATGCATGTATCTCTTTTATTTTGGATTTGAATCGCTGGATATTAAATTCATTTGGAAAAACGTTCTCAAGAAGTTTATTCCACATGAACGCATTTCTCCAAATGACGTTAATCCTATCAGGGATTAACAACTCTCAAGGGTAACTAATGAAGTGAATAATATGGCAGAAAGTTGGTTCCTAATAAATAATCTCAAATTGAGAACAAATAAAACCAAAAATTTGCAAATGTCTGCGCATACTGCAAATAATGACGTGTGAGAACAGTAACCTAACTTGGAACTGTCACACTAATCAGTTGAAAAGTAAATTATGTTCAAGAATATTTATTTTACGTCAATTGAGAGATGTAACGAGTCCCCATATTCTAAAAACGAATACGAATCATCAGTCACTCTAATTATAAAGAACATTGCCAGCATCTTCATAAAATGATAATGCCATCAATTACCTACATTATACATATTCGCAGTTTTAGTTGAAATTCACAAAAAGTTGAATTAATTTTTTACTTGGAAAAACTGTGGGAATTAGCTTTTTTCATGGAAAGTACCAAAAGTTTACTTTCAAAAAAGTTAGGGCAATTTGAAACAAATAATGACAGCGTACGCAGCGCCCTCTAGATGTTACATGAAAATTAATACGAAATTATGATTTCCCACGTCAAAAAACCCAGAGTACCGAATTTCGTGCAGATAACTTATTTTTTTTCAAGAGTTATTGGCAAAAAGCGAACAAAAAAATTCAATTTCAACAATAAAATTGTCTCAGAAATGTGTCACTTGAATATTTAAACGTACTTATGTTACACCCTGTATATATAACTATAACACACGGAACATACTTTAAAAAATCGTCGTGTTGAGTTTAAAGTTGTCAGTCAATCTTAAGTTTAAAAAACCAGTGAAAAACTATCTTCTGAGATCTAGTCAGTCGGTGAATATCTAGAACATAATGTCTACAAGCTAATTTTGACAATAGTTTATGTATAATTTCTCCTTTTCATTTCAGCCGTAGGTCGGTCAAGCTATGTCACGTGAACTTCATCAAACTTTCGAAAAAAATTGTTTTACACCTCTAGTTGGTAATCGTTTGTTCAGAACCATTTGCTAAAAAAAGGTACATTTCAAAAATACACTACAATTTACCATAGGAAACGTTTTTTTCATCAGTTCAACTTTTTTTATATTCAAAAGCGGCTTTACGAATATATCCGTTTGTCCACAAACAAGAAAAAATATCTTGAGATGAAAACTTCGCACAATTTTTCTATTTTCAATTTCTATACATCTCCAAGAATTTCCATTCGACTCCAGACTGCTTGATCATTAACATAACGAGAGTTCAACTTTTACGGTTGCCTCGAAATAAAGAATAAATTAATTGGTGGAGAAATCGTTCACCTTACACCGGCATATTTTACAACTTGTGGTATCACATCATCACAGTCATTAGCGCCAAGTATAAAGTGTTCAAAAGAAACAAAATACAAAAAAACAATTTTGTGAGGTTGTTGATTGATTTATCAGAGATTAATATAGATCGCTATCAAAACTTCATAGAACATATTTCTATTGAAGAAGTTATTAGTAGTTATTTGCTAACTACAATTATTGGTGACCCCGAAAAAAGAAGAATAACATTGTCTACAAAAAGATGGTTAAACTTCTGCAACAACTCGAAGATCTTCAAAAAAGGGTTCGAAATTGCCAAAAATCCAAAGTGACTAAACATATGGTTAGTCCTGTCGACAAGTACAATATCCCAAACTCAAGGTTTGAACACATTAATATCGATATCGTCGGACCTTTGCCACCTTCAAATGATTTCTCTTATTGCTTAACATGCATTATAGACCGATTTTCCAGATTGATAGAAGCATTCCCTATGGAAGACATACGTGCTTAAACTCTTTATAATGGATGGATCACTAGATTTGGAATACCAGTTAGAATAACCACAGATCCAGGAAGACAGTTCGAGGGTACCTTATTCAGTATTACTGGAGTTTTTTCCCAACACCAAATCTTTATTTTTAACACCTTGACACGTGTTTCGATCACCAAGTGAACATCTTCAAAGAGGAAGATTAAAACTGTCAACTAGGGAAACAACTCCATAATATAGTGTCGTGGACACACCTCTATGCAGGATGTGTGAACAGGAAGATGAGACTGTCAGGCATGTCCTGTGCGAGTGCCCGGAGTTATCGTCAATAAGAGAGTGAATAGCTTATATCTATCTGACCAAGTATTGCACGGATTTAGAATCAAAAACCCGCAAAATGACCAACTTTGAAAGTTCTATAAACACTGAAATTTTGCTAAGGTTTTTTTACAAACGGACTGAAATACCATGGAAAAAACTATCTCTGTTCGATGTAAGCTATCATTCAAACTAAAGCCCTTCCTGATTAAACGCAGACCTGTTTTACCTTTTTAACTTTGACAGAAAAGTATGCTATATAAAAGAATATGTTTTATCGTGAATTTTATTTAGAATGCACGTGAAATCTTTCGTTGTCACAAGTGTAACTGTTATCGTCTATCGATGATGACTCAAGTGTAATCTCTCGTTGCCCCAAATGTAACTGTAAGCAGCTATCGATCACGTAAAATAAACTGTCATAAATGATGATAAACCGCATTCACTACTTCTCATCGAACACTTCAAGATAAAAGAAAGATGCTGGCCCTGGACAACTTTCCTTCGCGGTTTACTACCGTAGGATCGGAAAAGGCTTTTCAGCGGAAGACATTATTCACTCCAGATTCTAAAATAAACACTTACTTGAGCGACGAGTGAAGTTTCGTAGCTTTCGTGATGAGGTCCTCCCATAAAGGCATCCCATTCTGTAACGAAAATATTCGATTAGAGAAAAGCGGCTTTCATGTGTTCCGTTTGTTTGTTTTTCGGTGGAAAAGTTATCGCTATGCTGTTGTATAGAGTGAGAAAGAGATTCATTGCATTTCTTTTTATTCTGAGAGCGAATTTTTCATTTTTAATCCACTCAAAATGTTACAAGTTCGGACTTGGAATCTATGAAATAACGAATAAAATGAAAATCAATGGAATTATAGGATTTTCACTGAACAGTTTACAAAACCACAACACGTGTTTCACTATACAACAGCTTTCTCAGGCGTGATTTTCGCACATTATGAATACTAAATGTTAAAATTATTGAAAATACTAAAAACTGTCTGTTTGAATGAGTCAGTCAAAACATAAAAAAATTATCGAAAATAAATAAGCAATGTATAAAAATTCAAGAAATTTAAGAACGCTGACTTACAAGGCAAACAAATTATTGTGATCTGAAATAAAAATAAAATAATAACTGGGTTGGGTGAAATATCAAATGTATACAAGTAAATAACGTGAAATAAAAATTAAATGGAATAAAATAATCATATGAAAAAAGCAAACAAAATGAAAAATAATATCAATCAATCAATCAATCAATCAATTCATTCATTGTAAATGAAACATTACAACGTCGTTATTTCCTTAGTATTAAAATTAAAATACATATACACAGAGATGCACAGATCAAAATAAAATAAATATATACAAAATTATCATGCACATGTAAACCTACAAGAGATGTAGTACATGTATTATTCATTTATAAAATCTTCTATTGAATAGAAACATTTTTCTATTAGGACATTTTTCAGCCAGATGGAGAATTCATTCGAGTGTTTCTTTTTTGCAAAGTCTGGAATTTTATTATATAATTTTGCGCCCCAATAATCGCATCCTTGCTGTGTTTTCTTCAATCGATGAAGAGGAACTTGCAGTAAATCTTTATTTCTGGTATCATAAGAATGATTGAGTACATTTTTTGAGAACATCTCTGGATTTGCGTGAACATATTTTAGACAACTANTCTACACATCCATGTATAGAGTTACTTCCTTCCTTTCTTTGGAAGACTCCCTCATCCTTTTTTTTGTATCAAGATGGAGTAGTAGAAAGCCAAAAACTTTCTTTCCCAAAAATTAATCACTCCTAAAAAATATAACCCCTTCAATTCAAATAAGATTCCTCTTGGCTGGGATTAAATCAAATAGGTGAATGAATGTCATTACGATGTCATCGATGACATAAGCAGATCGAGCTTATTCCGTGACATTGAAATATCGTAATTCATGAATGTTATCCAATTTGGTACTGAAGAGCCTTAGATGTATAGAGTTACTTCCTTCCTTTCTTTGGAAGATTCCCTCATCCTTCTTTTTTGTATCAAGATGGAGTAGTAGAAAGCCAAAAACTTTCTTTCCCAAAATATAATACTGGAAAATATTTAATGAAAATGGACTACTCAGCTTCTATAAGAAGAAACACAGTTGTTGAATGTACGATATCTTTTTTATAACAAAACTGTCCATCACACCATTGTGTGAGTCAGGATGAACCATGACAAACTATATTTTAATCATGAAGTATTCAACTTATTTCTCAAAAATGGGAAACAAGAAATAGTGAACAATATATGAACAAGGAAAAGGGGACAATCGAATTTCAATGTATTTTGAAAAATCTAGAAAAATAACTTTCATGAGCAGTTTCAGTAGTCAGATTTTCAAAGGACTGCTGGATTATACGATCAGATTGAAGATACTCAAACCAACTCCTCTGCAGTTTCGTAAATCTGTGCTATCTAATAGTATTTAAAAATATATATAAAAGATATATTATCAAACTCATTTACTACAAAACTTGTTTATATTTTGCATGTTATATTTGTGGATATATTGTATCTTTGATTGCATCCAGTTACCTAGCTAATAATATCCAAAAAGGTATTAGTAAAATACATATTTTCACTCAAAATAATACTATTTATAATGTATATCTCTGCGAATTACATATAACAGTAGTTGTTAAGAAAATACTCTTTCTTTTACGTAATTCAATGTTTACATGGAAAATACATCAACATGTTTTTGGAGCATCACCAAAAACTACAATGGTTTATACAGTGTTTTACACAGTGTGTAAAAACCAAATGGAATAAATTCATTATTTCGGTTACTATACATATTTTAAAAATTCCCGAAACACGACAAATGTAAATTACAATTTGACATTCTTCAACGTAAAAATGCCACCCCTACCTTCAAACCCCTTTGAATGACAGTTACAACCCCCAATTTTTTAGATGGGAAGTGTAGGTTAGTGATATATCGTTGAAAAGGTCTCTTCATTCTCTATTAAAATGTTATCGCTTTCAAGTTTATTGCAACAATTAAGAAAAAATAAATTAAAATCATGTGGTTACCGAAATTCGATAAAATACACTCAAAAACTAAAATGTAATGCAAAACGTAATGATATGTAGAATACGAAAAAGAACTATGATTGTTAACGAAATAGATGTTCAAAATGTTCACCGCGAACGTTTTGGCAACATCCTAATCTCAAATAAAACTGTCTTCTAACATTATCTAACATATCAGGAGTGACCGACCTAATTGCAAGCGTTATTCGTTCTTTCAAGTCATTCAAATCTGAAGGTTTAGTTTTGTACACATTGCTCATTACACATCCCCATAAAAAGAAATCTAATGATGAAAGATCAGGTGATCGCACTGGCCATTCAATCGATCCTCGCCTCCCTATCCACCGATTGGGAAATGTTGTATCGAGGTATTGTCGGACATTAACTTGGTAATGTGCTGGTGCTCCACCTGCCGAAACCATATCGTATTCACTGGAAATTGAGGGTTTCCTGGATCGGGATATAAATTTGCTAAACTTGGAATGATATCATTTTAAAGTAGTGCCAAATAATTATCGCCATTCAAGTTGCCCTCAGTGAAAAAGGGACCAATGATATGGTTTCCTACAATCCCTGCCCAAACACTAACCTTTTGAGGGTATTTCGTGTGTTCTTCTCTTATCCAGTGAGGATTTTCCAATGACCAGTAGCGGCAATTTTGCCGATTAGCATTACCGTTAAGAGACAAAGTACACTCATCAGAAAAAATAACGTCTTCTAATTGGATGATATTGTTATCCAACATGTTCATCATTTGCTCACAAAAATAAGTTTTTTTTTATCAAAATCGTCTTCCATGAGCTCCTGAGTAGGTATCATTTCATAGGGATGCATTTTATTTTATTTTAATATGTATACTATCGATGTATGGCTAACATTGAATGTAGTGGACGTCTGTCTACTCGATGTATGTAGGCACTTATGGGATCCCTGCGTTTCCCTGACGGAACCTGAATGGGCGTAGATGTTGTATCTCCGTATTTTACAGGCAGAGTTCTACCAGTTAAGAAGCTATTGATTACTTGCAAAACATTCCCGCCTATACCAAGCGCTTGAATTTTAGATATAAGTAGGCCGTGGTTGATTCTATCAAAGGCTATTATTCTGTAAACTCCTTAATGATTTCAAAGCTGGAACAGTTCCCTCATATACTAATTAAATTCATGAGTGAGAAGTAAATTAGCTTCAGATTCTTTAAAGGAATATGGTTTCTCATAGTTTCTCTGTTTTCGAATAACATAATACGAAAGAGTTTCATCTATATGTAAACCCAAAAACCGAACGATAGTGAACCTCTCAATTGTGTTGTGTCTTAACACTTATTTGGAAGTTGTAATGATTTTATCCACCGAACCTTACATAATCAGGTTAAATCCTGCTATTATGGTGAAATGCAACCCCATTCCACTTCGAAGTGGATTCCTCGAACCAAACCCTTTATATTATTATCAAAACAACAAATCCGAAAGCTACGATACACTTTGCCAGTAAATGTCCATATTATACGTTTTGCGGTCTAGTTGGTTCTCGACTAGTTCACTAAATTCACATCAGGATGTACGATAAAACCCACTCATCATTTCATACTGAGGCTTTCTCTACTTCATCAAGATGAAAGCCAATTGCGAATTCGTGCAATAAAGCAAAAAATCACTTAATCGTCGTAAACGTCGCTTGTTCGTTGAGAAGGTTAACTAGGTATGGCATCAGTTCCTACACGAAAATATTCAAGGATTCCTTTTACAAACGGCCCGGCGATGCAAGATTTTCGTCATCTACTTCAAAAAGTTCGCACCTGAAAATATGAGCAACAAAATAATAAGTCTGTTAAATGTAAATATAAAATATATACTAAATTGGTATCTAAACTCATTTTTATCTAGGATAGGTACCTACAGATGAACAATTTTAATTATGATTCAATATAAATGTTTGCATAAATGAAACGAGATTAACATCATTAAGTAATTTCATTCGATAGCACCAAAATATTTCTAGTTCAGGTTTCTTATAAAATTACCATGTGGAATCTATAAAATCACGCGTCTATCTTATCAATCACTCTGTAGAATCACAAAAATTCGGAATGTGTTCATTCCAACGGTGGTTTGGCAAAATTTATCAATCTCCGTTCAGCCCATTTGTGATTGAACACATCAATAATGGCAATAATTGAGGTACAATCGATTATTGCAATTCCTTTTAATCATCGCACGATCAATCTCTCTGACCTGGAAATGAAATGCTCGCTTGCGATAACTTTTGACACTAATCACCGATTTATAGTTATTTATTATGATTTCCGGTTATGATTCTGGTTCAATTAGGTAGATAAGCCTGTTGAAAAATATATCTCCTGTGGAACTGTTCATACTCTTCAGGATTTTTTGAATTGTCTGAAGAGAAACAATCAAAATATGATACTTTGATTACAATAAAGGACAAAATGGATAACTTCAGAAAGTCAGATTGTCCTGAGATATAATTATGTGCGTTCTAGTCCTGTGAGATATTCAAGTTCGTTGTAATCCTGAAATATAACTATGTGCATTTTAGTCCTG